TTCCACCCGGGTTTCCCGCGGAGGGGCGGGCTCGGCGTCCTCCCTCCGCTGGGGCCGCGTCGTGTCAGCGCTCCCGGCCGGGTTTCGGTTCCTGTCCGAGGCGGGGGGCTCCGCGCGACTTCCCACGGGAGGCTCCGCGCGACGACCCGCCGGGGGCTCCGCGTTGCGACCGGCTGGGGGCACCCCGCGACCGGCTGGGGGTTCCGGGCGACGACCCGCGGGGGGCTCCTCGCGACGACTCGCCGGTAGCTCCGCGCGACGACCCGCCGGGGGCTCCTCGCGGCGACCCGCGGGGGACTCCGCGCGACCCGTCCCGGGCACGTGCCCCCTGAACTTCTTCTTGAGGACGACATGAGACACCCCGTCGATCTGTTTGACGATGGCCACGGAGTTGACGAACTGTTTGAAGAGCTCCCTGTTCCGCCGCTGGTCCCCGTGGTCCCGGACGAAGTTCCTGAAGTGCGAGATGAGGTCCGCGTTCTTCACCGCGCCCCCGCTGCTCTGCAGGAAATGCAGGACCGAGTCCTGCGTGAACACCGTGGCCATGGCCGTCTGTGGGGGGGCACTTTGGTTTCGCTCTCCCGCCCCGCGCGACTCAAAGGTCGGGGAGCTGTTTCTGTCAGGAGGGAACAGGCCCCGCCCCTCTCAGGTGTTTAACCCTAAACTCACCTGCTGCAGGTGACCCGGATGTGCCGGGAGGATGTTCAGGTGATAGGAAAACATTGCAGGGCTGAACATCATTTGTGTAGAACCTTATCTTTCAGCAGTTTTCCATACGGAAAACCCCCCAAACCTTCATGAATATTATATATTATATGTAATAGCCAATTTCAATAGAAAAGTATCCCTCTGTAGCATTTTTTATCTGCCCAACTACCCCTACCCCACCTAGCTATAAAATCTGTTTCCTTATTCCTGTTAGCCTCTTTTGAGATTGCAATGTGCATTGAAAGGGGTTAGTCACATAATTAATCAGACCTTTTAAACTTCAAACATCAGAGGGGACCACAAAGACATTTAATAGGGTTGGTATTAAATATTTCCCCTTTCAAACTGATGGTATGAAGGGAAGAGCCGACTGCTACCTGTTGTCTTTAGATCCAGAGTTTTGTAGATCGTAGAATAATTTGGATCACGATTTTAGGGGTCAAACCTCTGTGGACTGTAAACACTAAACAGTTCACATCTCTGTATTGTGCAATTAAACACTTTAATTTGATCTCCAATCAGAATGATTTTAGTCCAACTGAACGTATTTCTGTCAAGGTGAATCCACAATTTTGTTATAGATACAATTAAAATGTTCACCCCTTTTTCAGGAAAAAACACATTTAACATTGAAACAGGTTAATCTATTTCAGAAATACTTACTTTGTATGGTTAACCTGGCAATTACGGAAAATGTAATAAACATGACAACAAGTTATATGTGGGGATCCTGTTGTATTATTAGAATAATACTATTCTAATACCATCTACTCTGTTTTTTGTATTTGGCAACGCTGGAGGGAAACCTCTACTTTTTTACCTGCTCCTTTATTCCTCCTGCCATGTCTCTGGAGATGTATGTTGCTGAAAAGCTACTATACACTGGAATTTTAGACATTTACAACTCTGCAAGAGCAGCGAGACTGAAGTGAAACAATCAGATTATACTTGAAATATATTTGTCCCTCGTAAAAAAATAAAACACTTTTTTTCTCTCATTAAACTTGTTGGAGCAAAATAATCAGAATAATCATAAATATGTGATTTATTCATATTATAATGATAGTGGTCAAATTTGCCAAGGGGTACAAGGTCTGCACGTGCTGAATTATTAAATCCAAATGAATTTAAATTAAACTCGACAGTGTGAATGATTCTGTAAATTCAGCAATTAAACACAAAAATTCTGATACTGGATCCCAGCCTGATAAATGACCTCCTAATGTCCATTTAGATCAGTGGACAGTGCTGACCAACATGTCTTTGGGTGTTCAACCCTGATGGATATTCAGAGGATTATTACAGGAGAAGAAAGAGGACGAGTGCAAAAGGGAAATAACAGTTTTAAGATGATGGAATACCTTTAAACCACAGCGCTTTAAACGGTGCCCTGGCCTTTTCCTCAGGAGTCCAGCTTCCCCCGTCCAGCCGACAGGTCAGGAGTAACCAACACAGAGGCCGGCAGAGCTGAAAAAGTGCTTTTATTGAAGAGAAACTTCACACTGGGATTAAATAAGGCCTCATGTTGTCTCTGGAAGCGATGTGATGCCGAGCTGACCTGTTCTCATGACCTCACATAGTGCTTTGATGTCTTCAACAGCCGCTATCAGTGAGCAAGTTAATCGTAAACTCATGTTATAAGGTTGAAGCTTTTGCTGGAACATGAAAAAAAAAACTGTATCTAAAATAGAACATTTGATGCCTTCCAGCTTCTGAATGATATATTTGCACTGTTCATGGCCTCACCTCATCATCTTTAAAATCTTTGGACACGGCACATTTTTCTAAGCCTTAAAATGAATTCTTTTTAAGTTCAAATTTGACCAATTTTCTCCTGATCTTTAAAAGACCACAAGAAAAAGAAAAAAAAATAAGCTTCAGATGCTGTGGTGGTTGCGATTGTGGCCATTTTTCCAAAAAAGAAAAAGAAAAAGTCAATATTTGCGGCATAAAAATATTTACAATCTGAATTTTTTTATATCTTAGACATGTTTATCTCTCTCTGTTCTTTACCACATAATCACAGAGAACCTTTCAAGTGGCTGAGACCGGAAACATGGTTATCGTTCAGTGTAAATCCTACTGCAAACAGTAGTCAGACTGTGACAAAGTGCTACAAGCTTCATACATACAGTCAGCGGTGGCAGAATGTGGGATACGGTGGGAGTGAGGATTACAGTTTTTCAAAGCAGTTTTCCCTCAGAAATGTCTTTGTTTTTGCCCTGAAATGAGAACAAAGTTCTTCCGGTTTGGCGTTGAATTATTTCTGTGAGTCTATCAAACAGTAACTGGAAGATGAGAGCGTCCTTTCTTTGGGAGATCATGCTCCTGCCCACTTTTTTTTTTTTTTGCTCAAGCCATGCTGAGATAAAAACTTCCTACAGGTCCGTGAGAGCGATAGCAGACTTATTGAAGGACGATTCCGTTTCGTTTGTGTCTGTTCAAATTTAAACGGCAGGTCTTCTGCTGAAACCATAAATAAAAGCAAACAGGCCAAAGTATTTGCTGGCACGGAAAAAGATGACAACCACGGGACTGAGTTTGTGCTTTAAAACGGGGACAAATGTTCTCCAAGGTGAACACTTACGGCCCGAGTCATCACTTTTTTTCGAGTTAGAATGATTAGTTGGCAGCAGGTGAGGTGAACGGACGTCTAAGGCTGGATGGGCTGCGAACAGAAGCAGGCACATTAAAGACTTTTCTTCTCTACGTATAAAATCTGCATCCTTCTGATATTTCCTCCAAGCCCGCTGGCTGCTGCTTTTAGGGAGCCCAGTGTCTCTTACTGGTTTCCCCGCTGAATGTTAGAGGGACGTGACGGTGGTGGACCTGACCGGGTGGGCGGTCAGGATGGCGGGGGAGCAGGGCGTGGGGCCTGAGGGCCGGGGCGCCGCCCCCCCCGGCGGGGGCGGCAGGCTCTCCTCCAGCCGCCGCAGCTGCTCCTGCCCGTGGCGGATGAGGTCGTCCAGGTGGCGCTGGCGCACCAGGAGGGACGGCTTGGCGCTGACGAAGTGGCGGTAGTCCTGGAGCTGGGCCGGGGTCAGGTACCCGGACAGGATGGCGTGGACCACGCCCTGCCGGCGCTCCAGGTTCTCCTTCAGCTCCCGGGCGTCTTCCGTTTGGCGCAGGAGCAGCGAGCGCTTGTGATGCAGAGACTCCTGGAGGGGGGGGGGGGGGGGGGGGGTCAACAAAGTACAGTCATTTGCAAAGTCCAAAAAGCAAAAGGAAATAATAAAACGTCAAAAATATTGCTGAATTCCATGTGGCAATCTCGGGCTCAGGCTTTTGCTATTGTCCATGTGTGTTTTAAGTCCCATGCTCCCTAACCCTAACCCCAACCCAAACCCTAACCCTAACCCTAGAGCCTGATATTTAATCTTACAGTACAAGATCAGGAACCCGTTACCAAACCAGAAATACTTCCCAGACCTCTTTTCTTCATTCACCTGAGCTCATTCTTTCTCTTTGTGGTCACGTTTTTGCGTGAGTGACTCAATGATCATTCCTAAGTGTTCCCGAAACTATTTTCCAACGGTATTCAAACGACAAAAAGCCTAAGAAATAGTCAGGGTGTTACTTTTTCTTAATATCAAACGTACCCATCCCATCAGGAATTTGACGCGATAAATAGGTTTATGTGTAAAAACAGCAGCCCAATGACAAAGAAAACTGGCAACGGGGTGCTGGTTTGAAAGGACTGTGCAAACATTGTGCGTTTGTTATATGTTTAGGCTTTCATCCATCACCCAAATCCGTTTAGAAAAGTAGCTAATGTGTCCTGAGACCCACAGATCACCAGGTTGGTTAGAGACTAGGAGGAGACACCAGGAAGCCTAAAAGTTGTGAAACATGGTGCGGATGTAACAGCCACTAATAGTAGGAGCTCCACCCCCAAAAACTGATGAGATCTGTTTTCAGTTTCTGTACGGCTGTGCAGGTGTGTCCTCGTTGACGGGGGGGGGGCCTCACCCTCTCCTCCACTGCGTCCTCTGACATCCCCCCGTCCCGCTCCAGGGCCAGCAGTGACCGGTCGATCCTGGACAGCCGGCCGCACAGAGACAGCAGCAGGTTCACGATCTTCTCCAGATCCCCTGCAAACAGCCAGAGCAAAACCCGGTCACCAGGACCCGCCACTCCGGTTGACCTTAGACCTCTCGGAGGCGAGTGGGACGCCGCACCGATGAACATGCTGTACTTGTCCCTCTCGTTGGTTTTGAGGCGCTCCTGCACCAGCGTCTCCATGCTGGCTCCCAGAGCCTGGTGGAGCCTCTGCTCCTCACACACACACTCCTTCTCCCTCTGGAGAGCCGCCACGCTGCTCCTCAGAGCCTCACAGAGAGCCACCTGCCGGACGGAGAGAGGATTACCAACATTTCCAAGAATCCAAGAATTGGCTCCGCTCAGCTACAGCGTTCCACCTATCACAGAGGCTCTTACATGTTTTTGAATGTAGAAGAACAGGCGTACGCTATTTTTGATTCAAAGTTATGTCATACATTCTGGTTTGTCCGTGGGAATCTTCCTCATACACCAGAGTGAGTCAGTTGAACAGGGGTCTTTCCACTTATACTTTCATTTTATACAGACTTGTATCTAGTAACATTATAAGGCATCATAGTATGATGATACTTAGTTATATTAGCTGTAACTACATATGAAACAAGATTAACTGATTGGTGAAAACTGCAATCCTGTCTCAGATACAAAAATACCAATTTTTTTCTGCTTCTAAATTCAGACCAAACTGAACGAGTCGTCTTTGGATCTGAGTGCTTCTTGAAAAAAACCCATCTGACTCAATTGTGACATTATTTTATCTCAATAGTACCATGAGGAACCTTGAAGTTATCTTTATTCATCCAATGATTCAAACATTAACCAGCTGTGTAGGACGGCTTTCCATGACCTTTGTAATATCTCTAAAATTAGGAACATACTGTTTCAGACTGATGCAGAAAAACTGCTCCACTTATTTGTTACTTCACAATCGCATTTATGTAATTTTTTTATTAGTGGGCATTCCCAAAATAGATCTCTGAAAAGCCTCAAGCTGATCCAAAATGCTGCAACTTGAGTTGTCATGAAAACTGGAGAGAGAGGTCATAGATATCCAGCTTTAGGCTCTCCTTATTGGCTCCCCATAAATGTAAGGATAGAATTTAACAGACACCTCATAATTAGATATGACCACAGAGCACTTCATTACAAGTCTCCTTTTGGTTCCTAGAGTTTCTAAAAGTAGGAACTCTAGGAACCCTGTCAAACCCCTTCATTTATGAATCTTTTTCTGTTTTGTTTTTAATTTATAAACTAGATTTAAAGAATTGTGAACTATTTTCCTACTTTATCAATATCAGAAGTAAAATTTATTGTTTTCTAAAAATAAATTAAAAACATTATCTAGGTATACTATTTAGGCATAAGATTAGGAAACTAGTCTAGTGGAAAGAAAACGCATTAAGGACGGTATTTACCTTACTGATGGTCATGTCCCTTTCTTGCTCATCCAGGTCGGTCTCAAGCTGGTCAGTAACAACATGCTGACCAGCATCACTGACACCATCTTGGATCCTTGGGAGATAATAATAATGTAATTATACTTACATGTTTTTCTCATCAATGTGTTTGACTCAACAAATAGGAAGATAAAAAAACATTGCAAACCAAAGGTAGTAAAAAAGCAGGCTGTGTAGATTTGACCCATTTCTGGGTCATTTGTTGAATGCCAATGCGTTTGCATGTATTTTGTGATAAGCAGAAAACATTTTTAAAATGTTATTACATTAAACAAAAACCAAAAAAACTGTTTAGGCAAAAGGTACTTTATAAAAGATAAAGACGATCCCAGCAGAGTTCCAGGATTAAAGTCACTCGCTCATGCCGAATGACCACAAGATGTCAGTACTGTCAAGCAGTTTAGTAACTGATATGCAATCAGGCAGAGGTTTGTCAGACTGATCAGAGGATGTAAATCAGTCAGCTTTTCCATTAGTACCTGCTCAGTCAGACTCAGTACACTTGAGACTGCGGCCGAATGGTGCTCAAATCAATGAACTGACCGAGTGGGGACTAGTAGAAAACTAAATAATGTAACTTTGTAGAAAAGATCCTCCATTCTGTTAAGATATTGTTTCTCTCACACACACGCACACCTTTGTGTTTTCATTATATATAAGGACGTCCTGATATTGAAGGTGTGTATTCACAAAATTGTCCTGATATATCACGAAAACAAACACGCACGCACGCACGCACACACACACACACACACACACACACACACCCAAACACACGTAAATCTATCTAGATCAGTGAGAACTCTGACTTTCTGCCTCCACACCAGCTCATTAGTGATGACAAAGCAGTAATGCAGACACACAGGGAGGAGTGTGAGTGTGTGAGAGTTTGCAGACATATTTAGAATACCTGTCTGACATTTTCAATCCCGGGAAACAGTTTTCTAGTTGACTTAGAGTTACTTTTGCATCTGTGTGTTAATCAAATCTGTAGCTAATCAAACAACAAGGGAGGAGATAATTGAGTTTTTTTGTTTTTTTTGGGGTGAAATGATGAAACACTGTCCCAGTCGGCCCACACTTTGCTGCTGGGAGAGGTTGATCAGGTTAGTCTGGTCCCTCCTGTCCTGTCTGATAATACCACCACTGCCAAACTGTGACACTCCTCCAACCAAGACTCAAATTTCCACCTCCTCATTACCTCATCACTTTAAGGTTCTTTATCCAAACAATTCGAGTCCTTTCATGATGATTACTGGAGAAAGGTTTACGCAATATTGCATGCAATGGAAAGGCATCTTTAAATTTCGAGGAACTGTTCAGGAATAGTAGAAGAATAAAAAATCACGATGTAGCATGTCTATTTCCTCAAAGAAAACCAAAAATTTAGATTTAAGAAGGCCCTTCAATGTTGGTAGGAGATGGGCCAGACGTAAAAAGAGATATTTGCTTCCAAAAGTGAGAAGAAATGTCTTCTAACTTTCTGTTTTTTAAAAATAAAACTCACTAATACTTAGTGTGGTCTTTCTTCACAATATACCTCAAAAGGTAAACCTTTTCAACATCCTTAAGATAAACTGTGATGGTGAATTCTAATTCTGATTAGACTGAATTGGAGAGTCCCCGGTTAACCCATTCATCAGTCGAACCTCCTCTAGTTTATTTAGACCTCTGAGGAAACTGGGGCCTATTCCAGCTCAAGTGGGGCTTCGAATGCACCATAATAATATCTAATAATATCTAATAAACAGCTCCAAGACCTGGTGTGGAGGTACATTTTTATAGGTTTTATACTTATAGTTCTAAGTCTTTATACTTTTTCTACTTTTTTTCTACAAAAAAAAAAAAAACTAGCAGCAGCAGCTGAACTAATATAAGATTTAAATATTGTTGTTCATACTAACCAACTATCCTGTCACTAGTTGCAGACAATTTTCATACTTTTGGATATGAATCACATTCATCTTTTTCTTTTTTCTGTGATATTGCCTAAGACCATGTCGGAATTGAAGCACTTGGATGAAATAAAACTATGTAAAGAAGACGAAGAATGGTGAGGCCACCCATATTCTGCTTCATTAAAGAGTTAAAAAATACACTTAAGCTAAGGATTAAGTTTTAGGAAAACTATGTCCATCAGTATGATTTGGATAATTCTCTAAATGTGGTTAACATTTCTTTAAATCCATTTTTCCTAACACGTTCCTCTAATAGGCCGGATGTCTGGCCCCAGGTTTACCTCCAAGCCTGTTAACAACACAAAACAACTAAAAAAGATTTGCCTGATTCCGCAGGTTGCAGGATAACTACATCCGACCTGCCCACTGATCTGACATCAGCTAAATCAGCTGCAAAACAGTCACATGGGGGCCTTCCTTCGGCCTTTTCCTGATCATCTATGGCAGAAAAACTCCAGAATGATTGTTGTTTGCCTTCGCCGTGGCTCGGGAACGTTCTCTCCGTGAACATCGTGTTCGTCAAAACACGCTCAAGACGTCACGGGGCGCTCAGGCTCCACGCGCAGGGCTCTGTGCTGGGCCTCCTCCGCTTTGTCAGCAGCAGATAAGAGAAGGGGGCTGTCAGCAAACAAAGCTAAAGTGATAAATGTTGGTTTATATAGGCAGGCCATACCCCCCCCCTCCCACCAATGCTCATCTCGTGCTTCAGTTTCATAAAACCCATTCTGGTCTTAAGGCTAAATAAACCCACTTGTCGTGAAGGTCTTTATCCGTCCGTTATGCTAAGCCATTTAAAAGGATCCTGCTAATCTTTCTCCAGCTTTAAACAACATCATCGCTCCCTGATAGTTAGAGCATTCCTGTGTTGGGATTTGCTTTGCTTGAATCGTAGCGTGTTTAATGCTACTACTCCAAATCCCCAAAAAACAGCTGGGAGGCTGCATAGAATGTAAATAAAAACAGAATCCAAGTTTTTTTTTTTTACTAAGACTAAGACCCAGGATTGTTGAGTCACTAGAATCTTTAAGAATGGAACAACATTCCTCTTCCGAGGGCCAACCAGCCCTTTCCTCCCGGGTTCCCTTGCGTGTTTGGATAGTTGTTGAAAGAGTAGAGGATGATGAGCAGCAGTAGCAGAGCCCTGTCCATATTTTCCCGACATAGCAAAACGTCTCCGGTAGAAATTTCTATCTGTTTCCTGTTTGCAACAACAAACATGCATGAATCTTTAAAATCTTTTGAATCTAAACCAGGCGTCCATGGTGTTCTTACTGTTATGACACGGTAATTCTATAAGGTGGGGGATATTCTTCTTTGAACATACTAAAGATTGAGTTCAGGTATCACTGAGGTGGATCAAGAGGGCTAGGGGCAGTAGGGAGTACATCACACGGTGTCCAATTACCTGTCAGCAGCATGGACGCTGGCCCTGTGCTGATTCAGCCTGCTGTTTGGGAAGATCTCCTCCATCAGGTCCACTGTGGATTTACCCCCCCACGTGTCCAGAAGGGGCGCCAGAGAGGGGTCCTGGAGCACCTGGGCACCGAGAAAGAAGAAATACGAGTCAGATTAAGCCACAAACATAAAAGCCAGATCAAAGTGAGGGAAGTAGTTAATGTGGGCAGTTAGAAATGAGGACGATGTAGCCAAACAGGCTGTGTAACATCAGAGGTGGACGGACCGAGCAGAGTCCAAGCCGTGGAGATTACACTGCCTCACAGCATGGAAACTGTTCACAAACGAGTGGATACACACCAGTTGGCGAGCCAATGCCTCCACCCTCCGCTCCTCAGATGTCTTCTCCCTCTTGGGCAACGCTTGGTACTCAAAACTGAGGTTGTCTTCTGCTGTGGGGGGAGTGGACGGCCGTGGCTTTTGGGAGGGAGAGGACCAGATTGAAGCCTTGATGCGGTTGTTTTCCAGGAAATCAGATCTCGGACTACAAAACAAGAGAGAGCAGATAAATGGAGATAAAGAAACAAGGTCGTAGAGCGAAAAAGTTCATAAACACAATTTAAGATACGCAGATGTGGGCGAACAAGCCCTTCAAACCTCTGCTCAGCTTCCTGCTCCAGCTCAATGGGAGGCGGGGGAGGGGGGAAGTCCTCCATGATGCTGGTCTCCTTCATAGGTGACGCGGGTGGAGAAGGCGGGGGCGGAAGGTCGGAATTTTGGAGGAAGACCTCGTCAAGATCCTCTTGCTGAGTGCCTGCAGAGGTAGGGAGTGGTGGCTGCTGGCCAACAGAACCAGAGAGGCTGGACTCTGAGATCCTCAGAGGGGACAGGTGCTGCTGGACGGACGGTAGGGGAGAGGATGTGGAGCTCCCGCTGGACCTCCTGTTTGGCGTGGAAGGCTGGCAGAGTGGCGGAACATTGGTGAGGAGCCTACCGCCAGTGCCCTTTGGGGTGTCTAACCCTGTGCCGCTTTGGGGGGTGTCCGGGAACGTGATGGCCTCCAGGTTGGCCGGGCTCAGCCTCTCGCTGGCTTTCCACTCGGCAGAGCTTCGGTCCTGAGCGCCTGGCGGGGAAAAGGGGCAGGGCAGGCCTACAGAGGCGGCCAGGGTGGAGGTGCTGTGGGCCCGCTGGCGCTCGCCGGGCCTCTGCCGCTCCCTGTGCACGACGGGAGTGTGCCGGTGGTCTGGAACCAGAACGCAGAGAAGGTTTAGGGATATGATGGGATAAAATTGAGGGAAAGATGTGTAAATGTGACTACGAAACTCTTTCTTTTTCATGCATTACCTTGTGGGGTTCCTGCAGGTTTAGTGGTTTTGTCACTGTAGAAGGAGGGTGGAGGAGAAGAGAGACCCCCTGATGGATGGATGTCTGTAGGTCTGAGAGACAAGACAGAAAGGGGGTCAGAATGCCGTCCCTTGTTGTGGATCCAAGCTAAGGACTACCCACAACGGGGCCTCGGAAAAACAGATTTCACCTTCAGAATAAGATCATACATACATCATACATTTATAAAAAAGAATAAATAAATAAAACAAAAAAAATAATAATATCATACATACATCATACATTTATAAAAAAAGAACTAAATAAATAAATATAAAAAAGAATAAAATCATACAGTGTAACAGACTTTACAAGAAACTACGCAGATTTAAGTTGCTCTTAGTTTGGCTCTATCATTCAAAGTGCTACCGGACTCTCTAAACTGAGAGAAAAACACTGAAAAAAACCCAAAATAGAAACAAAACTGACTGAATTGAAAGACTAAGTCTGTTGTTCCACTCAGTGGAAAAGGGTACACAGCTAACACAGAAATGAGCTCGCTAAGAACTTCTTTGTTAGCTTTCTTCTCTCATCGGTATTCAAAATCTTATCATCTGTTTGTGCTCTGTTATCAGAATTTATGCCTTCAATGACCCTGGTTATATTCGGACCCCAGACATATCTGAGTGAACACACAGAATTCCCAAAGTGACCTCTGAACATCTCATCATGAGAGCAAACATATTTAAGAGCTTTGGGTTAATAAATCCCTCTGGACTAATGTTGGTATTCTGTTTATGTTCCCGTCTTGATGCCAGGGAGTTTTTTTTGCTTCCCAAATAATTCCTGTCTCCCCCCTCCCTTCGAATCCCTCCCTCAACTACAGAAAACATCCTATTTTCTTACCTTTTTCCTCCTCCCAATTCAACCTTTTCTTCTCATCTGGACATTTATGTTTACTTCTTTAAATCTACCTTTTTCTACTATTTTTCCTACTTTTTCTATTTCTATTTCCTTATTTATCTCTTTTAATTATACGTTTCTTTCTCTCGGTAACATCTTCTCCTCAAATGCATCTCTTTTTTTATTCCTTCTCCATCATTTTTCCATCCTTCATTCCTCTCTTTTTTAAGCTAGTCCCTCTGCATTTTGTTTACTTATTCATCTTAACCTTTCTCTCCTTCCTTTCTTTTTTCCTTTTCCCTTCCTCTGCCTCTGTGATGATGGAAGCCGAGCACATGGACTCATAAGGCCACAGCCGGTTTTAAAATAGCTGAAAGAACAGGCACGCCGAGCCAAAAGCCTATAATGGAAGAGAGCTACATCTGTTTGATCAGAAATGATCTGAATTCCCGTCATCCTTCAGTTCTCTAATGGGTACAAACAGCTGTCAAATATTGTGGAAATAAGACTAAAATTAGGCCTCATTTAATAAACCTGTTATGAGAAAAGGAGAACTGCTGGAGATTTCTCAAAGGTCAAAAGAAGCCTTCTAAACAGATGGTGTGACGCCAGCAGAGCCCTGATTTCACAAACATCAATCTTCTCCAGCCTCTGAAAATGATTGGAACAACCTACCTAAAGAAACAGCGTACTGAGGTCAATCAGTGCAGTTTCAAAAGAAAACTGGTTTGTATACTACTGAATTTATTGCTTTTTTCTGTTCTTTACATGAAAATTATGATAACGTATAGACCTGATTTAATACACTTGTTGTGCCTCCATTGTTACAATTCACATTTCGATTTAAGTCACTGAAAAGAGGAGAGGTTTGAAATAAAAGAAATGATGAGGAAGCCACATGAAAAGTTGATAGGCCACTGTGGCTGAAAATCATGTAGAATAGACCAAAATATTGTGGGACATGGAACCACGGTGACATTGAGAGTATGAGGAAATAGTCAGCAGCGATCCACTGCAGCCTACAGATGTGTTGGCGTGTTTCACTGCGGCTTGAGGCAGAAACTAACGGTCGGCTGTCGGTCATGTGGAACGTGTGCAGATGGGGTGTACCTGTCTGCAGCCAGAGCACAGCGGCCGCTCTCAGAGAACGAGACCCCAAACGTCTTGACGTCAGATGAGTGGAAGTCCTGAAACACAAAGAGGCTTTGTCAGCTCAAGTCCTTGCGTTTACTGGCTGGACTTATCTTCTCATGGTTAGGCCAACGGTAAAGGATGTGGACAGTTTTTAGCTCCATAAAACATTGAGAGAGGAGATGTTTGCATGAATAACTTCTGAACTGAAGCCAACTGAAAGAATTGTATCTGTCATTGTAGGACCCTTCATATTCCTCTGGAGTTATTTGTTGGTTGGATTGATCGGTGATTTATTTTCCTGTGGTTTTTATGCTGCATGATGCCACTTACAGATAAAGATGGTAACATAAATCATGTCATTACAGCTCAGTCTTATGTGGAAAGTCCTGATAACCAGTTCCAGACCCAGAGATCCAATGCAAGGCAACAGTTTTTACCCAACAGCAGCAGCCTTCCCAAGCAGGACAACATGTCCCCAAATCTCTAATCTGATTGAACCTAAACAGAATCATAGGGGTAAAAATAATCCAAATAAGCACCACCATGTCACTCACAGGACCAAGAGACAGCCCATTGGAAATTACAAGTTTGCAATGCCCCACATATTATTTGTGCAATTAATATAAATGGGAATCTGGACATAGTGAAATTAACTGGGTTCATGCTTTTAGTTACCTTTTAGTTAACACTGAATGGATAGCATGCTTCACTGGTTTACTTTCTAACAAAAAAACCCAGAAATTTGCAGTTTTTTTCAATGGTAATCTTTCCTAATGGGATTCTACGGATAGAAGATAATCTACACACACTGAAAATACACAGATATACATTTGACCGCCGACCCATTTGTGAAAAAGAGAAAGCTAGCTGACAGTAAAAATGCTATTTTCTGAAGCATATTCACTCATCACGAATTTGATGGCAGTCATGTCTAATTAAAGTCAGGTACGGGATAGCAACAGGCTGGAAAAGTATGTGGAAAAGACATCTTTACTAACTTTACTAACACATAAAAACGAATAGGAGCAGGACGTGGTCAGTTACATGATATGGATGCATATAAAAAGAACACCTTGCAAAGGAAGTTAATTAAGATGGGTAGCGGTAGTCTAAAACTTGTGGTGTGATTTAAGAAAAGTGTTCTGCGACCTAACAAATTACAGAGACTGCATATCTCAACATCTGTCTGCAGACATCTCTGAAAATAAGGCGCACACACAGACATCAGCGGATTAGGCCTACCATATTCAGCCCCCCCCGACAGCACTGTGTTTAAAACAGACACCACTGCATCCTGGAAATTCCCTTGGTCCAGGAACACTACCGGAAATGATTGTCTATGAAACAGTTCACTGTACCTTTCTCTGTCACACAACGCGTTTGAACCAGATGTGAAAACACAGTGACCAAAGCTGTTTTTCAGAAATAAGGATGGCACTTTGTGGATGACTCTTTAAAGGAATGAGGGGGGGCATTAGCACACAAGGAGCTGGCAAGTTGCACATCTGGATAAGCTCCAGAGATGCATTAATATAAATTAAATGAAAATTCTTTGAAAAATACATTTTTCTACATTCAAGTAACTAACAAGACATTTGTGCATAAAAACAGGTAGATTCAAAGAGACAAAAATCTAGGAGGGAGCAAATAATTTATACTCCACAAATATGTCTTAAGTCTTTCATTCAAACATAAATAACCTTTTAAATGTCCAACATTAATCATTTTCCCTCTTTTTAGGGTACCTACAAATAGACTTGATTCAGCTCAGAAACCTGAAATAGAGTCTGTTCATATGTTAGTTTACTGAAATCCATGTGTGTAGGTCTCTTCACCTTATCCGAATGAAGGGTAATTATCATTATTAGATCCCCTTTAGGGTGCTGGTTATTATAAATCTAGATTAGGCATAAACACTGAGGACTTCTGTTTCTGTGTGTCTGACCTATTTTTAAAAAATTTCCAAAATCCAGTCTGTGGCATCACATGTCAGACCATAGACCTCATCACACAATGGAATACACACACACACACACACAAAGCACAGGCCTGCTGTTTCTCCACTGTTCTGGATTTGACTTGTCAACTCTCCCACTCAAACTATCACTTTCAATACCACAAAGAGATGCGCGCACACAGATAGTCCCAGAAGTATTTGGACCGACTCAAACTAAGCCAGACGCCGTAAAGTTGATAGGACATTGCCTCACAGTACAAATGGAATGTGATCCAAAAAGAAAGCTGCCTTTGAGGCTTTTAAAGGTAAGGAAGAAGAAGACAGTTAATCTAATAGAGCTTTATTTTACCACATAAACTAAACTAAAGTTTGCGTGTGTGTTATCTTTGCAATCATTCACATCAGACAGAGCAGACAAACTATCTAAGGCTCTCTGGAGCCCTACAGGAAACTATGAGGATTCTGGGCCATTCCTATAAAACTCAAAGCGGAATGCCCCCAGAACAGCAGACTATCCCAAAAGAAACTTAAACACAAGACTTCCATGAAAGCCTCACATTTCTGCAAAATCCATTTATAATCATGCTTCAATTTGGAAAAAGTTGGATCGCAAATGCTTCTGTTTGAGCGAAAAACGTGTTGAAAATGCTGGGTAATCAAACGTTTTTAATCACCACATGGTGGGTTATAGTACAATGACATCATGTTTGAAACTCTGGAAGGTTATCACCAGTAACTTTATCTTATCTTTTGTTGTAGCAGCAGAAATACACAGTTTACATTGTGATGTAATCCTTCAGGAATGCTGTTTTGGAGATGTTTGATTGGCGGATGTTAAGGCCAATCTTAATGATGCGATACTGAAATCCATCACAAGTTTATTTGAAATGGACTTATGGGTCAATCAGCTATTTTTTCCTTTTGGCACATTATCTGACAACCAAAGGGGCTAAAGTCAAACCAAAAATGGTGTCTGTGACAAAAAACTCCACCTGTAATGATCACATACATATATCTAAATAATGAAACTTTACTTTACTCTCTTACTACCTACTTTATAATGTATTCATACAAAATGAAACAGTCCAAAATGTCCAGAGAAATATGATGATTAAATAATCAAAGGGATTTATTACCACATAGTATCCTAATGCTGACGGCTTCCCATAGTTATCAACTGCACTGACTGAAGATTGGCTACAAAATCTTCAAAATGACAAGATTTTGAGGTCATCATCCCAAAACTAAAGCTGTTATTTTCATTTCAACACACGCTCGGTCTGGATCTGGTTTGAGATACCTGGAAGCTTCCAATGATCATGATGAGACCCTTCAAATTCTTTCAATTCCTACCTTAAAGAGGTGCAATCTTCTCTGTGCTAATCACTTTATTAATCTATTAGATGGTAGAATCATCTAAAATATTTCTAAATGACCAATAAGAGGCATCAATTAAACTAAATATAGACACTAAGCAGATTAAGCAGTTTTTGGAAAGCAGTAAGTTACCTGGTTCAGGTTGTCCATGACTGGTGAGGAGCGAGAGCGGACGTGTTGGGGAACAGATGGCCTGTCTTCGGATCGCTCCAGGAGATCCTCCGCAGAAGCCGACTTCCCAGCCTTCTGCAAAGGCCCACTGAGCTGTTTGGAAACTCCCAGGTTGAGCTGAGGCTCTGCGACCTGCCAGTTCTGGTCCAGGCTCGCTTTCCTGCTATGAGCCAGATTCTGTCCGCTGATGACTGCTACGGGGATTAGGTCCTGGTGGTTTTGGGCATGGAATTCAAAAGCGGAACCAGGAGAAGCACTAAGAGAAAAAACCAAGGAAAGGACTTCTTATTCCAAAGCTCTACCAAAGTCATAAGCTTTTTAGTCGGGACTGTATAGTAGCTACAAAACCCAGCTGGATTCGTCATGTGTCAGCTTTCGGTTACCTCGGAGGAGGATGTGCTGGAGGCCTGGGTGTGGTCACCCTGCCGGGGTAGAAGAAGTTGGACTGTAGACTCCGCAGGTCGGCCCCAGGAGGAAGGGTTGTGCAGAGACGCCTTTCGCCAGCAAAGCTGCTTTGATCTGGACCGTAGTCCTGGAGTGAAAGCAGGCTGGAGGTGGAGGAGAGGCTGATGGTGTCTGAGAGACAAAGATTGAAAGAGGGATCGAGATAAAAGATTAACACGTTTGTTCCCCTCTTTGGGCATATACCCCAGTCGCCACCTGCCCACCTGCTTGGCTGCCATGTTCAGGCCGCACATATGCACTACGAGGCCTCGACCCGCTCTTCTGTCCGACCTCGTCTCTCTTAGCTCCCGTCTTCCTTTCGAAGTACTCGAAGAGAGCATCTTGCCGAACTTGCCGCAGGTCGTTCCTTGACATTGCGCCCTGAGGAGTCCCGACGCGACTTGCCGCGAGTTCAAACATCTTCCGCCGATCGGCCACACTCGTTTCTGACGAGGAAGAAAATCCAAACACGCGCTTAACTCCTTGACCGATTCTGTCAGAACGTTTTGTGGTATTCAAAGAAAACACAAGATTCAAAAAAGGACTAGACAATTAATATTTCCCTAAATTTAACATTTAAACTTCCTATACTAGCCCAGTGCCTAATGAAGAACCTCCTGATTCCTACATAGGCCAAGATGTCTCTGGGTTCAGGGGGTAGCAATGGAGGTAGAGCCCTTGTTCAGGTGGGAGGTAATGAAAGTATAGGGGCCAGAGAAGACATTTTTTCTTGGTGCTTATCGGTCATTTTGTGTTATCCATAGTAAATATGAATGAATAGAACTGATCTCAATCAAGGCCATAGCCCAGCACAATACACTTTAAGCTTAAGTTGTACAATTTTGTGTGTTTTGCCACAGTTTGCTCACCACAGGACACACGATCTTTACCTCCTCCACGCCGGAACAGGGCAGCAGTCTCCATATCTGACACCCCGACTTCGTTCATGTTCTCTGGCTCCGAATACGATCGCTTTTTCTGCTCCCCTGTCAGACGCTTACGGCCACAGATCCTTGTCAGGGGTGGGGGAGGTCCAACTGGGGGGACGCTGGGAAGAGCTGGCGGGCTCGGACCTCGGACGTCTGGGCTGACCACATACCTCTCTTTCGGGGTGTGGGGGGAAGTGACAGGTGGCAGCTGTGGCGTGATGATGACGCCGTGTGGTTTGGGCAAAGTTTTTGGGCCCTTTTTCTCCAGTGAGTGGTACTTGGCAGGTACGGGCAGAGGAAGCTGCCTGCTAGAGGAGGACACACTGGGAGGGGGGCTCATCGAAGAACTGAAGTCCCTCCGGTTGAAGGAGGTGGACCAAAGGACATTAGACTGGGCATCTTTCAAGGATTCCCTGTAAGATCTGTTCAGAGACAAGTTTCCAGCATCAGGATAATGGAAGCATCCGGTTGGAGGACTGAGTTTACAGGGGTGCTAATGGACCCCGACCCACTAATGGTTTCTGAGAACCCTGACCTGTTGGAGGACGTGTCCTGCAGAGGGTCTGTTATCTCTTGGATGTCGTGTCTCCAGGAGAGGTCTTTGTTGGTATCTCCTTCCTTTGAACAATCCAGCTGGAAGCTGCTACGACTTCTCTGAAGTGCTGCATTAGGATCAGTAGGGATCCTGAAAACCAAATAACATAACATAAATACAACCAGAACAGTTACTCAATCCCTCTTTTCTGGGTAATCCAGGAGGATTCAAACAAAGTCAAATCATTTTGATAGTTACTGTAGATCAGGTTTGATTTGTCACCTGTATTTCATGTATTCATTCATGCCTCCTCTGTAGCTCATTGTCCTGTGGGCTTTGATCCCCTTGGTGCTCCTCTCCAGCATATTCCTCAGGTCTTCCGCTCCACAGGAGGTACCACGGGCTTTCTCAATCATCTGGTTCCAAATCAGAACAACACGAAGCAGTCAGTCTTTGAAACGGCTCACAAAGAGCGACATCTTCCCTTTTAGCAAACTGATTAAGTTCAGGGTGAAGAGCGTCTTATTTAAAAACTAATTCTTCACAATAGGTTTGGGAACATTTAAGAATAAGCATGTCTCAAAAACATATGATTTGGATGCACACACTCAAGCACACACTCAAGACTCGATCCATCCATCCAATAATCTTATATGGCTTATTCCCTAATGGCTTATTCCCTAATGGGGGCGGGGAGAACTGTAGCCTATCCCAGTGGTCAATGGACGAGAGGCGGGGTCACCCCGGTAAGTCCGCCAGTCCGTCGCAGGGCCACACACAAGACACACAAGGACAAACAACCATGCACACCCACTCCTAAGGGCAGTTTGGAATGTCCAATCAACCTAACATGCAGGTTTTTGGATGGCGGGAGGAAGCCGAAGAACCCGGAGAGAACCAACAGACACAGGAGAACATGCAGACTCCACCCAGAAAGGTCCTGGTTCCACCGGGACTCGAACCCAGAACCTTCTTGCTGTGAGGTGACGATGCTAACCACCACACCACCGTGCCGCCCACTCATGACTCATACACAGCATATTGGAACATTTGAAGGATGCAGGTTACCCGCAGATGAGGAGCTTTGCTGTGTTTGCCCCCACGCTCCCGGCGCTCGAAACGACTGACTTTCTCCAAAACAGAGAGGCTGCGGGCCGGGCCTTGGGTGCCATCGCTGGGAACGCCGTTGTCATGGCTGCTGCCAGAGAAGACGCTGTCGGGGCTGGCGCATCGCTGGACCTCAGCGAGGGCGATCTCCAGCCGGGTCAGCGGGTGCTCTCTGTCTCTGTCTGGTTCTCTGTGGTTCCGAGGCTGGTAGTTAGCGATAGCCGAGTCGCTAAAGTGACGAGGCGAGGGGTGCGAGGTGGAGCTGGGCGGAGCCTGAGGCTGAGGGTGAACAGGTGGCACCTGGCCCTGGGCGAGCCTGGGCGACACCGCCGGCTCCGAATAAACGCTACTCTGGTCCACTGACCTGAAGGGAAAGAAGCAAAAAGAGGCATTGACCCCTGATACATATCCGCAAAGCTTATAATACTGATCCCTAAATCATGCAGACCTGCTCCTTTCTCCCCAGGACTGGACCGGCGTGAGAGGATCTCTTTTATCATGCGAGGACGGGCTTTTAAGGTCAAGGTCTGGGTGGACGAGGCTATCGTGAAATTCGTGGGCCTTTTCCTGATGGGGTTCCTGGCTTGTATGAGGATGGGAACCTTGGAAGCTGTGGCTATAAGTTTCCTGGTGATTGGAAGGCCTTTGGGCCCCAGTCTGGCCCTCTGACTCCCCTCCAGGAGCTTTCATGTGTACTCTACAGGGTCTGGCCATGTCCTCTTGCTGTAGATGCCTTGTAAAAGTACAGGATAGGGTAACCATTAGGCACCCATATCAGAGCACACTTTCCATAAGGATTAAACAACGCTGCATTTATAGAACTTGATCATGGAGTGATTCTGAAAAGAGGATGTCAATTATGATCAATGAAATTTACACCTCACCTGTCATCCTCGTGTGACTGAGTCCTGAACTGTGTAGACAAAGACGTAGAAACTGAGGAGCGGTAGTACGGGGAAGAGACGTTATTTTGATGGCCATTGTCCGTAGTGGGAGTCCTTTCACCCATTCGCCCCTCTGCCTCCACTTCATCCTTTCCACTGACTGCCTGAAAACCTTGAAGATGCTGCCGGCTGCTCTCCTTGACCAGTAAGGGATAGACTCCCGAAGGCCCGGGGCTGGGACTGGACCTGGGTATCTGTGCATAGTGGGGCTCAGGCTGTGGAACCGGGTACACGCCTGTGGGAAGTATAAGCCGGCTGGACTGGGAGTTGAGTCCCGCAGGTCCAGAGGAGGGTCCGGTGTAGGGTGGGGGTTGGGGATATCCCCCACCCTGTCTGGGCTTTGTGGTTGGACTGCTCTCTGGACTCTTCTCTATGACAGTGTGGAGCTGACCCTCTGCACCATAAGAGCCTCTAGCTGCAACCACAGTAATGACATCAGGGTGGGTCAGTCTAAATCTTTTACTTGAAATTTGATATTTTGAGCACTCAACTAAAAATCTTGTATATTATTCTGGCTATGAGTAGAGTCTTGAAGAACAAAAGGAAACTATTTACGGTACCTGAGGCAACGGGGCCGCTGGAGTGATGCCCAGAACCTTTCTGTAGAGATCTGAACGAGATGCATTGGATAAAATCACATTAAATATATGTTTAATTAAACAAATCTCAGATTTCACAAAGACACCTGCAGGGAAACAAGGTTTCCAAACTGAGGCCACCTCTTGGCATTAGAACATATCCACACATTTCAGCTTCAAACAGATCCAAATATCATAGATCTGTGTATTGCTACTCCAAAAATATCCCACGTTTTGGGTTGTTTTTCTCTCTTTTTTTTTTCTTTTTTCTTTTTCTAACCTTGAGCCCACGGCCCCATCGCTCACCGTAACGACCGGGCATGCTCCAGACTGGACCAGGAGTTGGGTCTCTCGTGGTTCCTGATGGCGGCGTAGCTGTCGCTGCGGCGGGGCGGGGCCGGTGCCCCCCTCAGGCTCTCGTAGGAGCTGTGGCTGGCTGCAGGGCCCCAGATTGGCCCCACACTGTGTCTGTTTGAAGCTGGCACGCCACTCCCGCCGCCGCCGCTGTTTCTGCCACTGGTGGCGCCACGGTAACGGACCCCGCCCACTAAGCAAAGCGTATAAATAAAAGCCCTGTCAGGAACTCGGATGAGAAGACCGGAAAAGCTTTGGTGAAAGCGAAAGCTCACCCTGGAGATCTCTGCTTTGTCCGGATCGCGCCGCGCCTCGGGTGTCGCTGTTGCCCAGCAACGCGGCAGAGTTGGATCTGAGCTCGTGTTCTTGAGAGAGGCCCTGTTGGGGGTCATAGACTGTCCGCACATAGCGCATGTCGGCCTGCAGCATCTCTGCGCTTCCTCCTCCTTTCTGGGGGACGGTCTCCAGTGAGTAAGAACGTTCTGGACTGAAGGAGGGGGTGGAGGCCAGGTACTCTGGGATACTGGAGCTAGTCGAGAAAGAAGAATAGGCCGAGTCTCTCTTGCTGTGCAGATGGTCAATGCTGTTTGAGGACCTGAAAAACAAGATAAGAATCTTAAAATTGGGGTAATTTGGGATTTGGATGAATTGTCTATCCTAAGGTCCCTTATCTTAGAGGAAATTTGCTTTGATGGTCAGGAGCAACCACCAAAAGGGACAGGCATGGTTTCTACAGTCAATCTTTGAGAGGGAAAACTGTTCCCCAATAAATCAAAACAACAATAAAAATAAGCAATTGTTTCAACATGCTCAATCTCAAGTAAAAGGTTGGATGTACAAATGTAAGACGAAAAAGCTTTAGAAAGAGAAGATTCGAGGCTAAGCTCTTATATTTTTCCTAAGACGTTTTAATGGGGGAGTCATTAATCAGTTAACAACATTGCTGTTTATGTTGATGATGCTAGTGTCATGTTTGGGGTGTGCTACTGCTGAAGGAGCTACAGACAATGACTAGCCATGAGATTTTCAGAATATTTCAGAATAACCTAAAACCCAGTTTAAAAATTACTCACTTCTTCCAACAGGATAATGTAAGTTTGTTTTAATATAATTTTAATCCTCTGTGACTAACCTAAAGTTAAACTTTGTTAGACTAGGAATAAATGACACTCGTTGGCTTACAACCTTTGTGTTTTGATGATAAACACAAGGCAGGATTGTTTCTGGTTTCCTATTGACACCTCACTCATCAACAAATCTGACGAAGAAACAAAACAACACAAAACTCCAAAAAAGACACAAAACCTTCTCGGTGCGTGTAATCACTAAACTTTTTTTTCTTAAACTTCTTCTATTTGCTTTTCGTGTTTCTTTATGCATGTTTAAACCCCCATCTGTACATCTCAAACAGTAATAACAGTCATTTCGTCTTTTGTCATCCACCTGGCAGAGGACAGTTGGTGGCAGGAGGAGTAGGCTGGGTGGGGTCCGGAGTGGCCGTGGTGGCCCAGCGCGAGGTGATGCTGAGCCACGGAGAGATTCTGGGAGGGGAGGGGGGGGTCCAGGCTCTCCATGCTGCCCCTGGAGCTGTACTGGTCTGGACTCTTCCTCAGGTAGCCCCCACCAGAGTCAAAGCCACCGGATATGTCAGTGGTGGATGCACTGAAAGATGGAGAGAAATGGAGAGAGCATTCAAAGTCAGTGATGAAGAGTACTTCTGAAAGTTATGGTTTGTCTGGTTAATGTTCCCTGTTGTATAATAGTTTATTAGCCTCTACTTCTATGGGCTGGCTACAGTTTTTCAGCTACTTGTATATTTCAGATGAAAAGCCAGAAATGAATAGCCAAACAGCCCTTGAAGGAGGGCGGATTAAAAAAAATAAAGATGAATATCTGTTTGAATTGACCGCTTTTTGCTGTAAATTGTAGAAGTATATAACTTTAGCACCAAGTTTGGTTTAAAAAATGTCTGTGCACAACAGATTCAAATCTATGGTCTAAAAAAAGACTGTTCAGTTTCTGTGAGGGGCTCAGATTCGTGTCATGGTAAGGGACTGTCAGAGCAGATGGGCAAGTGAAAGGCTCTGCTGGTACATGGGAAACGTAGTCCCAACTGCCGGTGGGACGGCCGGTGCTCTGCAGCCGAATGCGCGGCTCCCTGGGTCTGAATAACGGACTGGAATGTAAATGTGTGTGCGAGCGTGGCTGTGCACGTCACAGTTTGACCCAGCAAGTCCTTCAGCTGAACACAACGCAATTACCGCCCCGAGAAGAGGGCCGCGTTTGTAGTTTCCTTTTTTTTTCCCAGAGCCCGCTTGTCCATCCGGCTCAGGCTTTTTCGGGCTCTTTGATTCCAGCTCAGATTCAGAACCAGTTCAGTCCGAATGCAGGGCGGTAGAAATGTAAAGGTGCCACATTCCTGCATATCAGCACATTACGAGCAGGACAGCACAGTATAGAGGGTGAATGTGTGCGTTTGTGTTGGGAGAAGGTGGACGGTAAGTGTTGCCAGGGGCGACTCAGAACTGAGGGGGAGGGGCACTAGGAATGCCCATCTTTGTGGGCACAGACGTCAATGCCCTGTCCTCTTCCTCCCCCTCTCTCTTTCAGACACACACACATATATACAGAGTCCCACCAGAAGCTTTGATTTGCCTTTTTGCTTTGGCCTAAAAAGATCGGTGATGTAATTTCGTCTGGTGACATAAACCTGCTCCACTTCCTCTAATGAACGACGAACTCTACCCGTTTACGCAACCTAGACAACTGCCCTAACTTCTCAAACTTTTCAGAGCCGGATGTTTGAATCCTAAAGGACCTCACACCCAAAACAGACCGAAAAGAGCCTCCAAGGCTCTAAAATGTCTGTACTTCTGGAATACGTTTTCAGTTTTGTTTGTCAGGTTTGCTAACTCGATCATTTTAAACATTTGGCCGCACAATAATATCAATAAATCTATTTTGATAAATAATTTACCACCAGAATATTCAAACACAGTAGTATGTTCAGCTGGACCATATAGACTCAGCATACATGTGTCCAGAAATCCTAAGATATGACTGGCCTTAAATACATATATATATCAGTGGTGGGCCGTCAGGGCCTGCAAGGCCTTCTCTGAAGGCCTAAGAAAATATCTGAATCACAGACTGATGTTAATGATATTTTGTCCATAAAAAAGGTATTAAATATCTCTAAATAGTCTGTCAGCTTCCTTTCATAGCTTCTCCCCTGGTTGCGCTGCTTCCAGACATGTATTTTCATATAAAAGCATTTAACCAATCACATTTCAGACATCCTTTGTCGCTAGGCAGGGTCAAAGTCAAAGATGTCTGCCTGGAGGCCTTCACAATCCGTTCTGCAGGCCCCCCCCCACAGAAAATACATGTGGAGTACACTGTTGCTTCAACCAATCAGATGTTAGGTTGGTGATGCCAGGGCCTGCGCGAAGGCCCAGGAAATGCCACCGTACCCACACCCGCTGATTGGATAGTCAGATATCCAATCAGGGCAAAGCTAGCAAACAAACCGAAATATAGTTGTGTTGGTGTAATAGCTATTTTATTATTTCGTGGCGGATTTACTGTCAAGACCATTTTCAAAACGGACTTTTCAAGAAAAGTAAGTGAGTAAAATGTTGTTTTTTTCCTAAATGGTATTGCGAGTTTATGAGGACATTATTGATGTTTTTGTTTTGTTTTGTTTTTTTTT